CGCCCCTGGGGCCGGACACCGCCAGAGCTGTGCACGACCCCGGGGCGTTACCAGGCGGGAGCGTCTTGGGCTTGAGGGCGCTACCGTTTGCGTCACACCATTCTTCGCAGCGCTACCGTCCTTGAGAAACACGCGGCTTGGCGCGTTCCGTTCTGCGCTCGCAGCCGGTTTAGCGACGTTTGCCCGTTCTGCGCCGCAGCGGGTTTGAGAGCGGTGCCGTTCTGCGTCGCAGCGGGCTTGAGAGCGCTACCGTGGTGCCCTACAGCGGACTTTGAGAGCGCTACCGTGGTGCGCTGCAGCGGGCTTGATAGCGCTACCGTGTTTCCTGCAGCGGGCTTGAGAGTGCTGCCGTGGTCGCTGCAGCGGGCTTGAGAGCGCCCAATGCTCTGGCAGCGCCTTTGCTTAGGAACATAACCGTTTTGGCGGGACAGCAGACTTGTGAGTGGCACTCGGGGGGCACACCAGGTTTGGCGGCGCTAACGCTCTTTGGAGCGATGGGTCTGATAGGATTTCCGACACGGGTTAGGCTGGATTTCCCGACGTGACAAGGAGCGCTACCTTTCTGTGAAGTGAGTGGTTTGGGAACAATGATATTTGGCGCCACGATCGGCTTCTGAAGGTCACCATTCGGCGACGCGCTGTGTTTCGGGAGTGCTGACGAGCTGAGCCGCCGCTGGGACTTGGAAACAGCGCTGCTCACGGCTGCAGCCCGCTTGGACATATCACCCGTTTTGAGGAATCCTTGGATGCGACTCGGGTGACTCTTGGGAAGCCTTCGGTTTCGTTATTGCTCCATTAGGCATGACGAATGATGGGCTTTGAGTCATCGCTGTTTTGCATATCCAACGACGCACTCTCTGGGTGGCCGACGCATGGGAGCCTAGCATCGGCTTTTGAAGCGGCCGGTTCTCCTCATCCCTAACAGATACAACAACCCCATTCCCCCTGGCTGTTGTCCGCAGCACTAGTCTGTCCAGCACCGCCGGTGGAGAACAGCGTCACACTCCTTCCCCGACTCGTTTTCAGAGAAAACAGAGCTCCCCGTTCCCACTGTGGCCGCAACATCGGATTTCCTGCCATCGGCGCCGGGTGCGCCGACGGTCTGCGGTCCCACACAGCCGAGCGGCGGCGGCCGGCGCGCCCCAGCCGGCTCCGACACCCGCTGACGTCACAGCTGACGTCACTGACTGCCCCGGGGCTTCGGCTTCCCCCGGCTTCACGGTTGTCCGCGCCGCGCCGGCGCCCGGCAGCGTTGCGTCCGGAGGCGCCGCGGCGCGCGCGTCGTTCTCGACGTTCTCCTTGTCGCTGTCGCCGGAGCCGGTGTCCATCGGGCACGACTCCGGCTCCGCAGCCTGCGCTAGCTCCGGCCGCCGTCGCTTGCTGGGCGAGGCGACGGGCGCGCTCGCGTCGGCCGGCCGTTTCGTGAGGTAGCGATAGAAGAAGCGCATCGGCGCTGTCTGAAACGCAGACAGAGGCTGCATTTCACGGACGCGACCGCTCAGCGCGAACACTAATTTTCCGTCCGTTTTCAACATGGTAGCGGGCGTACAAAACCCGCCGACGCCACGGCCGGCCGACCCGCGGCCGGGCGGTGGTGCCGGCAGGAGCGCAGGACGCTGCCGGGAGATCGAGCTCAGGGTACGGGCAGGATACGGGAGGGGAACGGTTTGATGAGGAGAAGGAGTGCACGATGGAAGGATCCCAAAAGACAAAAACCACAAGTGATCTAAGACGACTGGGCGTTCTCAGGCAGAGAAAGCGTGGATGAACACGCGAAACCGACTGAATTGGAATTAAGAGTTAGGGACCAAACGCCGACGGGAGTAATCTCACGTCTGGAGCGCGAACAGGCTGGTAAACTGATAACAACGGAACACTCACTTGACCGGAATAATCTCCAATAACCTTAGGTAATCCATAAAACCACTTACTCGGTCCCAATTGTGCATGTAGGCGACGTCCATGATAATGAGCTCTTCAGACAAGATGTCTCCACCGTAGAGAATATCAATCTAAGGAAGGAGAACACATTTATAACCTCGCCAATCGGTACAGTCCCGTTCCCCATGTGGCTCTGAAAAGAACGGTTCTTCAGCTGCGGACAACAGGTGGCCGATCCCAACTCTATGCGGCTGCGCAACAATCGACTGAACAGACAACACCAGCCTCTTCAACCCTCACGCAATACTGGGTACGCTCCAGCCGTCTGCCCTCAGCAGCGCATCGAGCCCCAGGTGCGCGCCCTTCACCAGGTCTCGGTGACACCCCCTGGGCTGGTGCAGCCAGGCCGTGCCCCGCACCAGGCTCCAGTGACACCCACCTGGGCTAGTGTGGCCAGGCCGTGCCCTGCACCAAGCCCCGGTGACACCCACCTGGGCTAGTGTGGCCAGGCCGTGCCCCGCACCAAGCCCCGGTGACACCCACCTGGGCTAGTGTGGCCAGGCCGTGCCCCGCACCAGGCTCCAGTGACACCCACCTGGGCTGGTGTGACCGGCCGTGCCCTGCACCAAGCCCCGGTGACACCCACCTGGGCTGGTGTGGCCAGGCCGTGCCCAGCACCAGGCTCCAGTGACACCCACCTGGGCTAGTGTGGCCAGGCCGTGCCCTGCACCAAGCCCCGGTGACACCCACCTGGGCTAGTGTGGCCAGGCCGTGCCCCGCACCAAGCCCCGGTGACACCCACCTGGGCTAGTGTGGCCAGGCCGTGCCCCGCACCAAGCCCCGGTGACACCCACCTGGGCTGGTGTGGCCAGGCCGCGCCCCGCACCAAGCCCCGGTGACACCCACCTGGGCTGGTGTGGCCAGGCCGTGCCCCGCACCAGGCTCCAGTGACACCCACCTGGGCTGGTGTGACCGGCCGTGCCCTGCACCAAGCCCCGGTGACACCCACCTGGGCTAGTGTGGCCAGGCCGTGCCCCCCCGGTGACACCCACCTGGGCTAGTGGGGCCGTGCCCCCTCCAGTGACACCCACCTGGGCTAGTGTGGCCAGGCCGTGCCCCGCACCAAGCCCCGGTAACACCCACCTGGGCTAGTGTGGCCAGGCCGTGCCCCGCACCAAGCCCCGGTGACACCCACCTGGGCTAGTGTGGCCAGGCCGTGCCCCGCACCAAGCCCCGGTGACACCCACCTGGGTTGATGTGGCCAGGCCGTGCTTCATGGTCAGCAGCTTCCGCAGGTGACCCACGCTGAGGCCGGCCGGCGCTTGAAAGAACCGTTTTGGAGGCAGTGCGGTCTCCTCGTCAACCGACCTGCGACAGGACAAGCCGTTGATTAGTGCTGATCACAACGATGACTTCCCCGACGCCCTGGGACAGCCCTGATGTTCCAATGATGTTCGGCAAGAATCCCGTTGGCATGGTACCACAAACAATTTGCAATGCTTACGAGCATCCTAAGAACAATCAGTCATGTTTATTCGCATGCTGTGTCATCCTTACTCTTTGACTCACAGCTTAATTGCAAACTGCCAGATCATTGGCGCATTTGCAGAGTCACACTCTCCCTTGTTTGAATATTGCGTCTGGTTTAGGCATAAGGGCAGGGGTGTAGCTTCATTTTTAGTTGGGGAGGCTTCAGGCCCCCTTCCCCCACTTGGACTTAGCCTCTCCCGCCAAGTTTGAGAGAAAAGTGGACGAAATTCGTGGCGAAGCACATCTGTTGACGAATTTTAGGGGTAGGTTTCATAAATGTTCACAGTTCAGCCCCCTCCCCCAACTCACTTTGCGAATATGCGCCCCTGCATAAGGGCGCTGTATTTGCTTGGTTATGCAGTTTCGGTGCCGGCGCTAGTGCCACGGAGGCAGTGCATCGTATAACCCAAACCTCTGCAACTGCATGCCCAGGTCCTTCTTGTTTTCTTGTGAATGCATGTAACAAGCGGACTCACCCAGCCTGCAGCGCCCTTGACACAATCTTTAATAAGGTTCGGTTTGGCGTTGAAGCATTGCTTCACTCGGGCCATAAGCCTCTGTTGCCCAGCGTGGGACGGGACGGGTACCGGCACCGGCAGCGGCACGCGATCGCCCACAAATCCCTCCGCCGCTGAACATCGGGCCGCTCGAGTCCACTGGATCCCCCCCCCCCCCCTCCCGTGCTCCACAATACCAGCCGCGCACAACGAACCCACTCTCGCGACACCACACGTTCATAATCAAGTCGCGCGCCGATTACGTCGCAGGAGCGCCCGATGAGATCGAGCGCCGCGCGGGGCCCGATCGCTGATCAGAGGCTGCACGCTCCAATTGGCCGCGCTCGGAAGCGGTCGCGGCGCTGCTAGATATCCCCGCAGCGGGAGGCGCCCGGGGTTCGTCGGCACGTGTCGTGGGCGGCGGTACCTCCGCTGCAGGGGAAGTCGGCACCGTGCAGCCAATGCCGGCTGCAGTTGATTGTACCGTCGTAGGGCGAGCCGCGTCTGGTGCCGAGCAGCCGTACCGGGAAAGGGGCGGGGAGAATGGGCAGGGGGAGGGGGCAGGAGGGGGGGGGGGCAGGTGGGCTGGAAGGGAACCGGTCCCGCCTGATCTATTTGCCGCTGTCATGCCGCTGCTCACGAATGCACAAGTCATTACGCACAATTACCGGTTACGGGCTGTGCGGCAGACTCCTCGTTTATACTGGGCACGGCGCCGTATCGATTCTGGGTTCCTGTGGCATAAAGCCAGCACTTGAGCCACGGTTTGTCACGACTCGGGCTGAGCAGACGCAGGCGCCTCTGTTCGCACCGATTTGTCGACTTTGGGCGGGACGAACACGGTAGTAAAGAAGGCAGCCACGACGTTGCCTTGTCGCCGAGTGACAACGGGCTCTGGAACCGTGCTGCATTCTGGGTGTTTGTAATGCCTCCTTGTGAAACATGGCATGGTCCGCTGTGGCATCAATGATCTAACAACTTACATGATCCCTCATCATCCAAGCGAAGCACTAGAAATGCAACCACCGAGGAAGTATAAACGTAGCGGCTGCCAGGCAACCTGGGCTAATGGGCGTGCCTGCCGCCGCCCCCCTGTTTTGGTCGCTTGTCTAAAAACACGTGGCAAATCGAACCAAGACGGTGTTGTGGAAAAAGACGGCCGGAAGGTGGGTGAACCAAACTAATTTTTGAGTTCAGTTCTTTCCATGCATCACCATGCTATTGGCAAAATTTCACAAAAAGTTCCAGCTGGCCATATTCAGTTTCTACAACATATGCTTCAATGCGATGTTTACCATGAGCCCTATTCAGAATTATATCTTCTCTTCTAAGCCTATCAATACAGAGACGATTTCGGCATACCCACGCCGGCCGACAAATGGGGCCTTAAACAGCAGGTAGCAGGAGCGGCAGATGTAGTGGTGGCCGACCCCCGGGTTGACGGCCAGTCGGGCGGGCCACAGAGGCAGGCCTATCTGGCCCGTCTATCTGGCCGCGCGGCTTCTGTCGGGCAGCGGCCGGCTGCTCCACTCGATCTCATTATCAGCCGCCTCTCGAGGCCGGCCGGGCCGCGCCGGGCCGGGCCGGGCCGGGCCGAGCGCTCCGACGCTCCGCTTCACTCCTCAATAACGGAACGGCGCACGGCGGCGAATCAGAAAAACCGTCGGCGCGCGGCACCGCGCCGCGGCAGCTGGCGGCACGCGTTCCAGTCGGGACGGCCGGCGCCGCGGTCGTCTCGGCCGGGGAGGAGCCGGGGTTACGCCGCGACCTCGGCCAGGGTGGCTGCGCGGCAGGCCGTCCCCGCCCGAGGGCCCGGGTGCTGCGCATGCACACCGCCCGCTGTTATGGGGCAATAAATCCGGCGGCGGTGTGTTGACTGGCCGGCGCCATTCGCGTGCCGCGGCCCACTGATTTCGGAAGATTACAAAATTGGTCAGTACCGGCCGACTCGATCCGTCTTTTAATGGCGCGCAAGGGACGACGGCTTTCCAAACAAGCTTGGAGGCTTTGAACGGTACCTGTGGACATGATAACATAAAATCTAAGCTTTGGTCAGCCCTTTTATTTAACTGAAGACTGCTTTGGAAGAAAACCTTATTACAAATCCCAAAAGTGCTCCAGATCAAGAAACTGTTGTGAGCTCGTGACGGGAAACTGCACCTCGCAATGTGTTTACGAAGATTTGGTGGGAGTAGCTCGTCCAAGTTGTGTAAATTCACACCACGCAAATCCAAAGTGGAAACTGGTTTTCCGTCATGATTTTAGCCACTGGTGATTATCAGACCAACGCTTTCTTCAATTTCCCCACCAACCTTTCAAAAAGGTGCCGCACATACTCCAATGAGGTAACCAGAATACTGTTTTCCACAAAGTCTTCACCAGCAATCCAACCGCGCCTGCGCGTTGTCAGGGCGCAAAAGGATTAAGTCATCCCGGCAACATTCCAGCAACATCGACAGGCCTACCATTTTATTTCACACATGCACTGAAAACCCACTTAGGCGCAATGTCCCTAGCAAATGTTCTTTCAAATTAACGAAAACTCAACCCAAAAACGGCAAACCAGCCAACAGTTTTGCTACCATATAAGGTGGTGCTTACAAAATACAAAATGCAGCGCCAGTCACAATCTGATTTGCCATTTTTTAGCCGCCAGCAGCCGTAGCTACACCACGGGCTGAGGCTAGTAAAAAAATTCGGCGAAAAATCAAGGTGGCTGACCCCCAACGTAACGCCATACTTGTTCGCACGTGTTGAACTCTATTCACTTTGAATTGGAAAGAAATGGTTTCCCGAATTTTCAGATCGCCACACACGCTACGGTCGCCGACAGATCAGATAAGCAGCGGCCCCGGGGCCGGTGAGCTGCGCCCCGAATGGCTGCTCGCTATGCTCAGGTGATCACCACAAAGCTGAGCGTGCAGGTCGGGTACCTGGTAGCCACGCAATTAACGATTGCTGAGCATTCCAAGACCGTTCAGGAAACATGCTCACGCGGCGGGAGCCTGGGGTAGCTGGTCACACAGGGAGTCAGATGGGCATATGATACCCTAACGGGCATATGCAACACTCAAATGATACGGGGCAAGTGCCACGAACGGCGAACTGGTGGCTGCATGTTGCTCATGGCGCACCAAAACCATCAACGGCTTACAAGTACTCGATGCTGCTAGAAAACGAATACGTTTCCACCGCAAATCATTGCCATCGTTTCACCCTCTCTTGCAAGGTCTATCCACACCTATCATAAGCAAAACCATCACGTATCCAGGCACGAGGGAAGTTGCCTGCGACTGTCAAGAGAGTAAGGCAGGGGGGGGGGGGGGGGCACGGAGGCACTTTTAGGCGTTTCTTTCCATGCACCGCCATAACCTTAGTGCTAAATTATCTGGAATGCTGGGGACACGGGCTCACAAAGCCTCCTCCCATAACACGATAGTTCCCGCGCCTATAATTACAACACAAGGAGAATGAAGACGAAACGAATATTTAAGGGGAGTGTTCCACATATGTATGGGGTTTTGAACTGAAATAGCCATCATGAAGATCATCCGGTGCAGTTTACGGTACTGTCTTCATAAGACTCAAACCGCGTAGTTCCCAAGCTACACGCCCGCGAAGACGTGCGGTCTTCTTCGAGGAGACAATTTCAGGGTCACCTGGCATCCATGACGCTACAGTAATGCCATTCAAATGCTGCCATTCTATGAGCTGTGCGGCAATGAAGGCCAATAAAAATATAACTGAGTCGTTCATACCTGGCGTTCGTGAACATGATTTCCAGATACAACGGCCGTCAAAACCAATACAACGACCCTCAGTCGATGACGTATTGCGGAAAATATTTACTTCACAGAGAAAATGTACTTTCGAGCGCGGCCTTTTCCACTTAAAAGCATATTAAGTGAGTTTTTTCTTCATATCTGATGCCTGCTTTAATGTTTTGAAATGTGGAACATTCCCTTTACGGAGCAACATTGAATGCGAACGGCCGCCCTTAAAGCGAGTATGCTGCCTTTCCTGTACTTTCCTTATTGTTAGATCAGACGCGTAAGATTTGATCGGTGGTACCAGCTTTCCTGAAATCCTTCTAAAAAGCTCAAAATTATTATTTGAAGTAACCGCTCCTGCGGAAAAAAAATCAATTTTAACTCCCAGATCACCACCATAAAGTAATGCATCTAATTTGCCCAGCTTTCCCGAAATCCCTCTAAAAAGCTCAGAATTTCTATTTGAAGTAGCCGGTCCTGCGGGAAAAACATGATTAAATTCCCAGATCAACACGATGAAAGTAATGTATTTAATTTGCCTTGCTTCTCCAACGTGTGTGTTATATAACGC